TATGGAAGATGACATAGATGCAGACAAGGATGAAAGGCCAAGTTTCAGGAATCAAGGTGAGGAGGGAATTATGAAGGGTAGTGAGAACAGACACACACACACCCCCACACCCAAATACTAAGGAAACAGCTGAGCTGGGATTGGGGTGAGGCAAGAAAGGCAGCCAGGGTACAAAATTGAAGGAGAGACTCAGTCTCAGCACTAGACAAAGCGGGGGATCAGATCTTCCTCAAATGTGGCACTCTGAGTACCTCTCTGTCCTTTAAGGGTAGCGTAGTGGTTACACAAAGGGCTGCTAACCACAGGGCCAGCAGTTCAAACCCACCAGGTGCTCTGCAGGCAAAAGATGACATGCAGTCAGGAGAGACCGGTCCCTGGAGAAGGACATCATGTTTGGTAAGGTGAGAGAAGCCGTGACAGAGAGGAAGACCCTCAGGGAGAAGGATGGACCCCGTTGCTTCAGCAATGTCGTAGGAGAGTTGTCAGGATGGTGCAGGACCAGGCAGCGTTTCCTTTGGTTGTGCATCAGGTCGCTAGGGGTCAGGGCAGACTCAATAGCATCTAACAACAGCAAGTTCAGAGGCCAAGGACCTCTCTGGCCTCGTCCTAGTGCTGGTCCTGAGACATAAAACTTCCAGATTTTGATGACCAGAATAGCAGGAAATGGAGGTCCATCAACATGACTGCTGGGGCCCTGGTTCGGGCAATCTTTAGTGGAGGACCCGTTGGGTTTGAATTTGGAGACCCAGTGGCATTGTGGTTCACATTGGGCTGCTCACCACAAGGTCAGCAGTTTGAAACCACAAGCTGCTTTGTGGGAGAAAGATGAAGCTTTCTACTCCTACAAAGAGTTATAGTCTCAGACATCCACAGAGGCAGTTCTATGCTCTCTTTTAGGGTCGCTGTGAGTCAGAATTGACTGCGTGACAGTGAGGTGGATTTTTGTTTTGTTTGGGAGGACTGACTGGGTTTGAGTTGACAATGGAGCATCCTGATGGAGGTTTCCATTAATTACAGTTGTCACAAGTTCCTAGACTGGCCCATCCATCCAATATAGTAGCCACTAACTAAATGTGGTTACGTACGTTCATATCTAATAAGATTGAAAAATTCAGCTTCTTGGTTGCACTAGCCCAATTTCAAGTGCTCAGTGCCACCTGTGGCTACTGGCCAGTGAAATAGAGCATCTCCATCATTGTAGAAAGTTCTATTGAGTCGTGAGTGCTGTGCTAGACCCAAGATGTTTCTAGACACACTGGGGAGAACCTTGGCCATGAGCTTAGTAAAACCAGGCCCAGTACATTTAATCTGATGCCTCTCTCTCTCTCTCTCTCTCTCTCTCTAGGTGACCCAGGAACCCAGGTAATGCTTTTTAATACGTCAAAGGAAGACCATTTGGGGCCAGAGACCATCTTCCTTGCTGTAGGATCAGTAGCGAGTGGAGATGTATTGATAGCGGGCTTCACCGAATGGCAGGGGCCTTGTGCCACGGAAGAAATGCCGTGCTCCAGTTGGAGGCCAGCTGGTAGGGATATCATTTTTCCAGCACAAAACATGAAAGTCTTCTCTAGGCGTGCTTTTCAGAAACCTGAAATAAGAGCTTTTTGTCTTTCAGCGGCTTCTGTGCTCTTTACCGGATCAGGGGGAAAATGTATTTAAAAAGAAAAGGCAAGAGAAATAGACCAATTAGTTTAGGGTCCTTGGTGTAGCAAGCTCAGTAGATCCTTTCAAAGTTTTCCTTTCCATTTATTAATAGGTGCCTGGCTGGTTCGAAAAGAGCCCTGGTAGTGCTCAGGGTTAAGTGTTGGGTCGCTAACCACAAGGTCAGCAGTTCAAACACACCAGCCACCCTGAGGGAGAAAGATGAAGCTGTCTGCTCCCATACATTTTCCAGCCTTCAAACCCCTGGATAACGGTTCTACTCCGTCCTGCAGAGTTGCAATAGTTAGTATAGACCTGATGGCAATAGGCTTGTTTATTTGGTTCTAAGTAGTTC